ACTCGGATCGGAGATGACGGCGGCGGCGGCCAGAGTCTCGGATCGGAGGTGACGACGGCGGCGGCCAGAAACTCGGATCGGAGATGACGGCGGCGGCGGCCAGAGTCTCGGATCGGAGGTGACGACGGCGGCGGCCAGAAACTCGGATCGGAGATGACGGCGGCGGCGGCCAGAGTCTCGGATCGGAGGTGACGGCGGCGGCGGCCAGAGTCTCGGATCGGAGGTGACGGCGGCGGCGGCCAGAGTCTCGGATCGGAGGTGACGGCGGCGGCGGCCAAAACTTGGATCGGAGGTGACGGCGGCGGCGGTCAGAGTCTCAGATCAGAGGTGACGGCAGCGGCGGTCAGAGTCGCAGATCAGAGGTGACGGAGGCGGCGGTCAGAGTCTCAGATCGGAGGTGACGGAGGCGGCGGTCAGAGTCTCAGATCGGAGGTGACGGCGGCGGTCAGAGTCTCAGATCGGAGTTGACGGCGGCGGCCAGAGTCTCGGATCGGAGGTGACGACGGCGGCGGTCAGAGTCTCAGATCAAAGGTGACGGCGACGGCGGTCAGAGTCTCAGATCAGAGGTGACAGCGGCGGCGGTCAGAGTCTCAGATCAGAGGTGACGGAGGCGGCGGCCAGAGTCTCGGATCGGAGGTGACGGCGGCGGCGGTCAGAGCCGATCTCGGATCGGAGGTCTCAGAGCCGGGTCTCGGATCGGAGGGTGACGACGTTGGCGGCCAGAGTCTCAGATCGAAGGTGACGGCGGTGGCGGGTCAGAGTTTCGGATGAGAGGTGACGGCGGCGGCGGCCAGAGTCTCGGATCAGAGGTTAAGGTGGCGGCGGTCAGAGTCTCAGATCGGAGGTGACGGCGGCAGTCAGAGTCTCAGATCGGAGTTGACGGCGGCGGCCAGAGTCTCAGATCGGAGGTGACGGCGGCGGCGGTCAGAGTCTCAGATCGGAGGTGACGGCGGCTGCGCACAGGGTCTCCGATCGGAGGCCAGGCATCAGCAGTACCGCCGTGCCGCGATCAGGTGTCTGACACATCCAGAAGCATGCTTCGGCGGCCGGTCACATTCGCGCTGAGGGCGCGGGGCCTTGCCGGCCCATCACCAGTCCCGTGTCAGCTGAGTCTCTACCGCTGCCGCTGGGACGACCAACGTGTCGCACATCACACCCGTTCGTATCGGGCGACAGCTCAGATCCGGGCCCACTAACGGACGGCCTCCGGAAATCGACTCAATGATTGAAGCCGAAAGGGTCAGAGCAATTGGAAGGTCTCAAGCTCGAAGTTTGTTCGAACCTCAGTTCTCGATGACCGTAGATAAGACAGTACTAATCAACTTAGTGGCATGAGACAACGTTGGCTAGGTTTGTTTCGATAACAGCATGCACCCGAGCCATCAATACATATCTCTCCTTCCTCCTGGTTACCTTATGAAGAGTAAGGCTAACAGTACTGTCTTATTACATATTACATGTTCCCCGCAGATGCACCTGACAACTCAGGTTATCTGGGTGACTGTGTAAAATTGAGGAGTCCTCAACAGTTTAAATGACATGACGGGAGGATTATACGTCGCTTACTAATATGACGCCTTTTATGACAGGATCAGGTGTTACGCGTCGGAAAACCGGCGTATAACTGTACTGATAACCAGGAACAGAATAACAAAACACAAACTTTCAGCCATCCAACACCGCCACGCAACGTCCTAAGTCGTGAAGACGACGCTCTGTTTAATCTTTGGCCTCCGGTTGGTTTTAGTTCACACCCGAGCCCGCCGAGATTCGGCTCCCGCGGCGCCTCCCCCGCTGCGCGCGCTGACGACGCCTCTGCCTGTCAGTCAGCTGGCCGGCCGCCCGGGCATGCGGTGTGCGGCGGGCGAGCAGAGCAAGACATTGGCCCCGGAACACCTCGGCAAAAGTGCGGGAGGGGCCCGCAGGGCTCGCCAGGGAGGGCAAGCCGACCACCTGCCCGACCCCCTCCCGCCAGGCCTGCGATCGATCCGACGTACCTCGTCTGGCGGCCTTCCGCAGCGGTCGGACGCGTTCCACGACGAATCAGCCTAATCATCGGCACCGCCTCCACCGGCGGTCTCATCACCGACGGCGACGGCGCAGCGACCAACGCCCCGGCGCCCGACAGGCCCTGTCTCAGGACCGACACCGTTGCCTCCCACACACAGAAGTGACTTCACCGAACACAGGTCGCGAGCAGACTCAGTGCACGCTGTGTCCCACCCACGGCCGAAAAACGCCCGGCTACAGATGGCCAGGCCGATTTCCGACCTCGGTGGCGACCGTATGCACGCTTCGTTTGGTGTGGACTAAAATTAGCGACCGTGACGGCGTTGCGGAGAAGGGACATTGAAAGATGGCTTGAGCGGCCTTCAGGCGCCAGCGCTGTGTTGAGCGCTGTTGTGCCCTGACACCCTGGGGCTCTTACGGGCTGTTCAGGGCTGTGTTTGGGACATGTCGGCCGCGATCGTGCGTTGCACGGACTGGGTGTGTCGACCAGGGATTGAGCCTGTGTTCGTTGGGGGGGAAGGGCGGGGGCTAGAGCCTCTCAAGTGGCAGGCATGCATTTTTGGTCGTGGGGACGGGGCGGGGGCGGGCTATTCTAGGTCAGGTCTGTAGTCCACAGCTTTTGCGAAAAACCTCCAAAACTTGATCTGTATTGCGGCCCTCGTGGTATTCAATTCACTGCTTCGCTTGTCCCTTGATTTGTTATGATCTTCAGCTAATGGAATAAGCAAACATGATTTTTCCATGCCAGTGTGGTGTTCTAGTGTTAGAAGGTGCACTGCTGAATGCGACGAACCTACGTTTCTATGGGTAGTGGCATTCGGCTACGATAGTAGATGATAAGGACAATATCATCCAAACGGTTACGAGAGACGAGCAAACATGTTGCATCATCCCGATAGCCCTCCTAGGCATGGCTAGCCTAAAGAAGAAAAAAAAACACACATTTGGGAGGGGGCGAAACCCATAACAGGAAAAGAGAGTGG